TCTGTAAATGTAACTTAAGCCAACCTTGTACTGAAATACGCAGCCACTGTTAAGACTATACCAGAGTGAAAAATGAGCTGAGCACATCACTGCTGTCACGCCACGTCTCGGGAGGTCTTCCGCACCAGCATCCTGCACCAGTCGTACAACTGCACGTTATCTTTATTTTGTTTCTTTTTCTTTTCTTTTTTTTTTTTTTTTTTTTTTTTTGCAGTACCGGGGATTGAACTCAGGACCTTGCTCTTGCCAGGCAAACACTTATTCTACTGAGCTATCTCCCCAGCTCTCTATTTTGTTTCTTAAAATCTCAAGCAACATCTTAAAAACTTAAGTTGACTATGGAATAAACTTTTGTGTGAGCTCTCTTAAGCGATTCCTTTTTTTTTTTTTTAACATTTTTTTTTTTGTGTGTGTGTATGTGTGTTTATTTATTTTTTTTGTGGCCAGCTCAGCCCACCAGGGGGCGGGGCTGGCTGGCATGTGGTGCTGGGGGATTGAACCGCGGTCCCTGTGCTTTGCTAAGCTTGTTCTAAGTAGGTGCTTTAGACCACTGAGCCATCTCACCAGCCCCGAGATTCCTTTATTAGTTTTCAAAATCTGATCAACTCTTAACAGAAAATGAAAACCAGAAATGACCCACCACAGTTTTGTAATCAGGTGCAGTATTTTGGTGTAGAATAATGCTTACATTTATATCACTATGTAGATTTTAACACTGAAAAGTCAGATTCAAGAAACCATAAAAAAAGAAGATGAAAATATCTTTTACTTACCAAAAATCAAATTGTCACCTGAAATATAACTAGTTTTTTAAAACTTTACGAAACCAATATACTTTATAATCCATTATATAAACTAATATTCCTTAATAGAGAATTAGAATTTATACTTATAAATTCTACTCCAACACAATTCCTTTATTTTATTTTTTCTGTATTTTAAGACGGTGTCTACAGGGTCTCACTACCTGGATCGGACTTGTAGTGATCCTTCTGTTTTCAGTCTCCCAAGAGCTGGGATTATAGGCACACACCACCACACTCAGTCTCAATTGCTGTCTCAGTGTGCCCTGCGGTGGGGCTGGCACAGCATGCCGGGGATCAAACCCTGGCTGCTGCACTCTGCCTAAGCAGGCGCTTTAGTCCGCTGAGCTATCAGGCCGGCCCACAATTCCTTTAAGTTGATGATATTAATATAGTCTCTCAATTTTATTGAATCATTAATGTCCTCGGGACTCTATTTTCTCCTAAATACTTTAACAATTGGTTTTTCAGAAGCTAAAACCAGGATATTTTTTCTAACTCTGTATATATATAACAGAAACAACCTCCATCCAGTCCTGGAACCTTCATGCCCTACCACATACAGCCCGTGGTATATAATTAGCATATATATATCCTAAATAAACTTTTGATAATATAAGAGTTAGTAGACAAAGGTAATCTGATAAATGATATAGTCAATGCTGTGAAAAAAGAAGAGTCTACAAAGTGTATGTATGTACGTATGTACATATGTATGCATGTACTTTTTTTGAGACAGGGGCTCACTACGTAGCTTAGGCTGGTTTTGAATCCACTACACAGTCTGGGTTGGCCTTAAACTTGTGAGCTCCTACTTAAGCCTCCTGAGTACTGGGATTACAGGTGTACCACCAAGCCAGGATAGGGCTTTTAAAAATTTTATTTATTTTGGTATTCGGAGTGAATTCAGTAGTTTTCATTTTATTTGTAAGTGCGAGACAGAAGCATGTGGAGGACCTGCTTGATTTTGGCCAAGCCGGCCCAGATCAAGAAGCAACAAGGCATGTTTAGGGTTTCTGCCTGAGCTCTGAAGGAGGGCAAATCAGACTTCTTGTCACAGCAGGGAAAAAGTAACGTTCAGAGAGATGTGGTTACAACAATAACACTGCTGTGCAACATGAAGAAAAGTAACTTGGGAAACACATACTAGGTCAAAACCAAATAGGACTGTTCTCTAGTAAAGCACATATTAGGAGAGAAGAGTCTCAAAGGAACAAAGAATGAAAAAGGGCCGAGGCAAGTGGGTATTAAACAGTAACAGTGATACCAGCTGTTTGGTTTTATTTAGTCTTAGGCACAATATTGAAAGGCGAAAAGATGAGGAGAGTTATGAAAACAGTTATGAGTCTGATTCAGGAAGACAGGTCTAATTCTAGCAACATAACCAAGGAGTAATGTACCGAATAAGTAAATTCTGAAAGCAAGTGAGAAATGACAAAAACAGCTCATCCGTTAGGTGCAGATTAGTCCACCTCAAGAGGAGAGTTCACGAAATTGCCTTCAAGACACACAGACAGAAAAGAGAGGAAGTTTTTCATTTTCTACTAAGAAAATCCCCTGGAGATGAACATTCTTATGAAATAAATATTTGTGACAGTCATCACAGTAGCATTAGTTACAGTGAAAAATTAGGTATAATTTAACTGTCCAATGGAGTGATGAGTAAGTAAATTATGTCAATCTAACAAAAATGCGGGGTTACTAGCAGAAAGAGTGGTATGAGTGCTAACTCCTCAGAATGGTGTAGTGTGTGACACTAAGTGTTAGTGGCACTGATGTGTCGACAGGGTGGGGGTGGAGAAGCTATGGAAGAGTTAGGGGCTAGGCAATTACCTTTTGCCAGCTAGGGCTGTTCTACGACTGATAAAGTATGTGCCACCTGTGACACTGGAGCTAATAGCTAGGCAGCAGCTAACAGCACCAAGTTCCCACTCCATGCCAAATGCTGCAGAACATTTAAGCAGCAGGTCTGAGATGGGCGTCATTTCCTTCCCCCTTTTCCTCCCTCCCTCCTTACCTCCCTCCCTCCCTCTCTCCCTCCCCTTCCTTTCCTTCCCCCTGGTTTCAGTGCTGGGGACTGGAACCAGAACCTTCACAGAACTACATTCCCACATCATTTTTAACTATTTTGAGGCAGGACGGTCTTGTCAAGTCACTAAATTGCTCAGGGTGGGCTTGAACTTGTAATCCTCCTGCCTCTCTGCCTCCCACAGTGCTAAAATAAGACTTATGTCAGGAGGCCTGGCATTATTGTTCTTTTATAAATAACAGGAAAGATCCAGGAAGTTAAAGCACTTGCCCAAGTTCATTCTACTGCAAAGGACAGTGCTGAGGTTCAATCCCGTGCCTACTTGCCAAGAAAACTTGGCAGCTTTTTGCTGCTCTGTGTTGCTTCCAAATACCATACAGCCATATGACAACATTAAAGGGGAGCATCAACATAATAAACTGTAAATAAACTAAGATTACACTATGCTGCAAGGTGAGGCTTTGCTTTCCTGTAAAACTTCCAAATGTTGTAAAATATAATTGCATTGTTTTTAAAAGATAAATTGGCATGGAAAACTGCATCATGAGGTGAGATCTCATAATAGCAATGGTTCTTAAGTATTACAAAGTTATTAAAATAAACTTACAAAGTTTCATTAACATCTTCCTTCTAAAATGAAATTGTGTATGGCTAAAATGATTTAGTTACTACTCTAACTGAATAAACCAAGAACCTATTGTAGCCCTTTCTAGGCACTAGGATTCTATAATACATTGTCAATTCCATATCAAACAAACAAAATACATTATCAGGCTAAAAATTACAGAGAAGTCAAAGCACTAATTCATTCAATTAACATTTGCTGCTGTTTACTGTATCAGTCATTTGGCTAGACTCTGGGGAAGCGCAGATAGGCAAGAGCCTTGTCTCCAGGGCACTCACAGCAATTCCAAGTTCTGTCATAGCCTCAAGGTAAATATAGTTTATTTTAAGCCAAGAGCATTGTGTTGAAGGGCAGGGAGCTCTGGCTCAAGGCCCAGGAGTAGCAGTAAAGGACCACATCTACTTGGAAAGAGAAGGCGGGATAATTCACTTCAGAGCCTCACCATGAGCTCCCTTTCACATGGGCCAAGACCCACAGTCAAATAAAGAACCCTGAGAAGTGGGGAGTGGTGGCACATGTCTAGAGTGCTAGCACTCTGGAGGACGAGGCAGGAGGACTGCAAGTCAGAGCTCAGCTGGGCAACTTAGTGGCTTAGCAAGACCTTTTATTAAAATAAAAAATCAGGCTCTGGATATAGTTCAGGATGAATAAGAACCCTTATAAACTAACATGACTCCTTGGAGGCACTCTGGTCCTGGGATAGCATTCATTACTTGAGGTGTCATTATTTCTTTAGGTTTCTTGGAGGAGGGGAGAATGGGATAGACACAAAGATGGAAGAGATAACCAGTAATTTTGGGGAGCTAGCTAGTCTTGAATCTTATTGTTAAGGAAAGAACTTACAAGGCTGTGCCTCTGAGAAAACAACTCCAAACACAAATGTCACAGAAAACATGTTCCTGTTGCCATTACCAGTGTGGACTCTATTGAGTACTCTGGTTGGTCTGACCTGAGCACCTGTTCCTTACCTAAAAACAATCACCTGAGAATCTCCATCTTACAGAGAAACAATCTGTCTAGACTTTAACATTTTCTATAGGGGTCGGGGAGATGGCTCAGCGGAACAAGCGCTTCTCTGGCAAGCGCGAGGACCTGAGTTCAATCCCTGGTTCCGCAAAAAAAAAAGAAAAAAAAAAAAAAAAAAAAAAAAGAAACAAACATTTTCTATAAATAATGTGTGTTTGGAACGTACAATTAAGATTTTAATTTTAAGGATATTTGTAAAAATTCTCTGTTCATAATAGAGGCATAAAATCCACACTACCTTCCTTCAAGTATCTGTAAATCAACATGAGCGCTCACTTCCACATACTGCCTTCATCCTCCTCTCCTGCTCTCCCCCTCAGTCAGGCTGACCCCATCTCCTTGGAAGCACGACCCGCAGGCTGCTAAGCAGACATTAAGAAGTAGGCTGATCGTGACAACTTCAGATGGTCAGAAGATCTTTTAAATCAACCATTAGAGTCCACTTTTCTCAGAGAAGGGAGAGTGTACTTTCCTAATATATTTGTCACAGCCCTCTAATACATATCAGTGATCTCACCTTCGATATAACTTGGACTGTCCAAAGGTCATAATTACCAGTGGTACATGGAAGGTAGTCAAGACTAGAATAACCTAGAGAAAAACAAAAGCATTCCATCAACAAGAAAGCTACTCCAAAGACATGCTGGTGTATGATGAAACTAAACCACACTTGCAATATTGGTCACTTTGTAGCAGATTGTATCACAGTAATATATATAGTTTTTAAATGAGGACAGAGTTCCTCAGACTTATTGTTATATGTCCAGATACCCTCAACAAACTTTGCTGGGATTGTACCTCTTCCCCGTACCTGAGGCAGTGCGACAGAACTAATCAAATACACATTACAGTAAAGGAGAATTTAACTACCTTTGTATCCAAATTCTCACAAGACATTCTTGGCAAGAACTATCTTTTTTATTTTTCTGCCTACAGAGGTTCAAATACTGTGAAGCATGTTACTGTGGTACATGTGTCCACCCTATTCTTCCTGCTGTTAGTTCTCCATGAAATTCATTTTATAAATAATTATTTCTTAAAAGTATATGATAGAAAAGACCTTGGTTAGATTAGTATTGCAGTCTAAGGAGTCTCAAAAGCCATATAAGAAATTTTAGAGATATCAACTATCTTATCCAAATAGATAAATTGCGAAAATTGCAGTTATAACCCAAATTTTAGAAGAAGTTGAGAAAGAAAAAATTCTACTGAAAAATTTAAAACTAATTAAGATAAGAACTTGTTTTCCAAAGCCAAAATGTATTTCTTTAAGCTTCTAATATAGTTATTGTGTGACTCAAGCCCATGAATACTGGAACATGGGGGAGGCATGTGACACGGCTCTTGCCCCTTTTCAGGCATGTAACAACAGAACCGACCCCCCAAGATCCATGCACCCTCAGCATGCCAGCTTAGGAGGGTGTCACCTGCATAGCACGAGGGACAAGGAGCTGACTGCCTCCTTCCTCTCCCCCAGTCCTGGCAGTAGTTCCTTTCTAAATGGACAGGGACAGCAGACTTGAACACCCAAGGCTGCCAGAATTATTTAATACAACTGTGGGAAAGGATATAGAAAAAACAGCGTAGGGGACAAAACGGCAAGACAGGTACTGCGCCTCTTCTGCTTCTACACTGAGGTTTTCCCAAGTATGGTCTCAGCACTCAGCACCGTCTTCCCTTTCTTCTGCTTGCTCATTTTGATACTAAGGAACTACTAAAGATTAAAATAGTGTCTACCTTGGCAGGGTGTGATGGGGCGCACCTGTGATCCCAGAACACTGCAAATTCAGGGTTGGCCTGGGCTAGAGTGAGCTCAAGGCCACCCTGAATTACAAGTGAGACCCCAACTCAAAACACAAAAAAGTCTAATGTCCTGGAAGTTAGGAAGAAGGAGATAAAAGATATTCCCAGTTTTAAGGCAAAACCAAACCAACTACAACTTTCTGAGAGTCTGTCCTGTAAACGTGCATTTGCTCCAGTTGAGGCTGAAAACTGCTTTGGAAAGTAACGAAATGTAGTGCTTCCACCCCGGTCTCCATCCTCTTACTGGACTGAAATAAATATTACTCACCCCAGTGCGGTCTCCAAGCCAGGATAAGGATACTGAGCCGCTGAGATCATCAAACACGTGCTGCGAAAGGAAGGAGAGCATGGAAGTCGTTTAGAAATGCCAGCCACTCTCCCCCAGTTTTTGACTTCCTTATGTACTGCAGCATCTGATCCCTGTTCAGCATAATTAAGCTCATAACTACAAGGGAACACAGGTCCCCACAACAAAGTTTGGGAGAAACAAGATTTAATTACTTAACTGAACCACAAATAACTTAAAAATTTAAATTCCCTCTTACACAAAGCAAGCCAAGCAGATGAGTTTTCTGCACTGTACCAGATGGGGATATGGGACAGTCTAATTGCTTTCTTCAACATGACTAAATATAAAGGCAGAGCAAAGTATTCTTAGGATGCCTTAAAACAAGAGATCAGATCCCACAATGACAGACATAATTATAACCCAACCAGCATAGTTTAAATTTTTCTAAGCAGCTCTTCACAGTACAGCTGAATAGTTACCAGCCGATTCCTTCTGCTCCCAGGCTAACTCACCAAAAGGCCAAGAAACAGAAGTAAGGAGGCAAACAGCCTCAATTGATCTTTTTATTCAATAGCAGTAGCATAACATAATAATAAACTTGATTAAAACTGTGGTGGGAGACGGGAGCAAAAATGGGAAAGCTAGTGTATTATAGTCAATATTATAGTCAATACAGTACTCATGTTGAAATAGTTACTATAATAATGGTTATAGCCAGGTGTGGTGGTGCACGCCTTTAATCCCAGCTTACTTGGAAGGCTGAGGCAGGAAGATCATATGAGTTTGAGACCAGCCTGGGCTATGCAGGGTGATCAAGGCCAGCTTAAACTACACAGTGAGATAATGTCTCAAAAAAACCCCAAAACACAGCAAACAGACAAACAAAACCTCAAACCCCAAAAGTTGGTATGGTGTTCTTGGTTTTTTCCCAAGTGCTTTCTTTTTATGTTTATAAAATGCATATTTATCATAGACAATGTAGATAATTATGTGGAAGTACAATTTAAAAATGAAGGGGCTGGGGAGATAGCTCAGTGGTATAAGTGCCTGACTGGCAAGCACAAGATCCTGAGTTTGGTCCCCAGTACTGCAAAAAGAAAAAAAAGAAAAAATTATTTATAAACCTACCATAGATATTTCAGGTTAATATTATATAATCTTTTAGTTTATATCATTTTTATTAAGGAATAAAAATTACAAAAGAGGTAATACTTTCACTTGATAAAAAATTCTAACCATATATAAATTATATAATATATACACACAATGTCTATAACAAAAAGTAAAGGTCTTCCCCTTTTCTTGGCACATGTTAATTGCTCAGTTAATAGTTGTCATAGCTTGGGGTTTTTACAAGGAGAATAATATAATACAGAACACATTTTATAATAGCATTTTATAATGAATGACCTAAGAACCACATACAAGAAGTACAGGAAATCCATCCACATACATAAACACTAAGGACTCCGGCTGAGGGCTTAGATCCTAATATCCCACATGAGTCCAGCTGAAAACCTAGAACTTATAACAATGCCTCCCACAGGCCCAAGTGGAGGGCTACAGCCCGTGACAATGTCTTATGCAGGCCCACTTCATGGATCTGCTGGGAAGGCCCAGAGGTCAGTGGTGGAAGCTAGGAAGTCTATGCCGGCAGGATGAAAGATCTGTGCCAGCAGGCTGAGGGATCTGAACTGGAGCTAGGAAGCAACGCTCAAGGGAAGCACCAGAGCTCCCCCAAAATCCCACAGCCGTCCTCAGCAACAGTGCAGTCCCGAGCTCCTCCCACAAGGAGGAAAGCTGAGTTCCCTTCAGGAAAGCCAGCATGACAAGCTTCTGCATGAGGTGAGCAGTGCACCGTCTTCCCCTCCGGAGCCAGGAAGCAGTGCTTACGAGGAGGACCAGAGCGCCTCCAGAGCTCATCAGGAAAGCCAGCATGACAAGGTGCTCCAGCAGAACAGCCCGAGAGAACTAGCAGCTTCCCACAGCTCCAACAAGAGGCCGGGGAGATGGCTCAATAGAATAAGAGCTTGCCTGGCAGCTCAGCAGCCTAAGTGCCTGCCTGGCAAGTGCAAGGTCCTGAGTTTGATCCCTGGTACAAAAAAAAAGAAAAAAAAAAAAAAAAGAAGAAAAGCTGAATATTGGGCTGGGGAGCTGGCTCAGTGGAATAAGCGCTTGCCTGGCAAGCACAGGGGCCTGAGTTCAATCCCCAGTTCCACCAAAAATTAAAAAAAAAAAAAAAAAAAAGAGCTTGCCTGGCAAGCACAGGGGCCTGAGTTCAATCCCAGGTTCCACCAACCCCGCCCCCCAAAACAACAGCTCCAACAGCTTCTCCAAACAGCAGCCCTAACAGCGTTCCAGCAGCTCCCCCTGTTCTGCCTTCATGCTGCTGGCAACAACCCTCAGGTGGGCCTCCTGCACCCAGTGCCATGCTAGTTTAATTCAGCTGGGTATAGTAAGTTGCCCACCAGTTAGAAATCCACTACAACAGTTTAGCACAGTATATATTTCTTATTTATTTATGTATTCATATTTATTTATTTATTTATTTATTTTTTGGCGGTACCAGGGATTAAACTCAGGATCTTATGCTTGCCAGGCAGGCGCTTATGCTGCTGAGTTATATCCCTGGCCCCTGTAGTATATCTATTTCTTTTTTTTTTTTGTGGAACCGGGGATTGAACTCAGGCCCTTGTGCTTGCGAGGGAAGCGCTTATTCCACTGAGCCATCTCCCCGGCCCCTCTATTTCTATTAAATGTTGATGACACTTTTCTTCAGAAGAAGACATAGCTGAAGTTCTTAAAAAAAATTTAAACATATCTTGCTTTCCTAAACACGAAAAAGTCATCACAAGCAGAGGATGCTAACTTTATACTTCTCCGGACCCCTGTGCCTACCACAGAGATACTTTGCATACTCAAGAAGCATTTGTTGAAAATGATTATAATATATCCTTCCCAAACCATAAACTGAATCTCAAAATAGAACATGCCTACACGGTTGTATGCCAGCTACTCGGTCACTCAGGCCACCAATCCTCACAGAAGATACTAGACAGAACTCAAAACAAACAGTTTTGCTTATTTTCTAATTTTCTCTTGTGGTCCTCCAAATTCACCAATGCTATTTCCCCCTCGACTGAACGTACTTTTGAGATCAAAAGACCCTCCTGTACAAGCCCTGTAAGTTTTAAGTTAATGCCTCACACAGTGCTTGCTCAGTAAATGCTGGTTAACTCTCAAACACTCACGCGGAACTTTTTGCAGCCTCTGCAGGACAGAAGGGCTATTCATACATGGAGGCTTGCCAAGCATCTGAGAAAAAGTAGGCCTGCTAGAGACGCTTGGAACAAGAAGCTTACAAACTAACACAGCAGTGTGTCTTGTAAGATACAGCATCTTACACAAAGCAAGACCACATGTTCTCTGGAGTGAGGAGACAGCGTCTGAAATTACATCAATGAGTTCCTTGAGGAGCAGCAGGAATATCCGGAGCTCCTGCAAGCTCCAGACAGACCACATGTGCGAGCAGTCATCTAAACGTGGGTTATTTTTCCAAGGAAGGTTTTGATCACAACAACCAGATTAAATGAAAAATTCCATCAACCATGACCTGGCGCTCTCGGTTGTCACAATCTGGCCATAGTACAGTGTGTATGGAACCAGTCAGGACCTGCACCTTGTCCTTTCCAGGCAGCGCACTCCACACCTGACCCTTGGCGCACACCAGTACTTCCCTCACCTTCTTGTTGCTCAGGCACAGGGCAAGGACCACCAAATGGCACTAGCAGCCTTTGGCTTCACCTACACAACTGAAATGATAACTGACCCCATTCACCACTCAAAGAACTCCTTTGGAAATACAGACCAGGTCTATTACCTGTAATTGAGGTTTTCTGCTACCTGTAACCTATGTCCCTCCCACCATTCACCAATTAACATTTGCTTTTGAGAACATACAAACTGAAAACTTCATCTACAAGCAAATGTAACCGATGTGCTACATTTCAGTCTGTGACATGCTTATACTCCCAAAAGTAAATGGGAAAATGAAATCAGGTCTAACAGCATGAGCAGCACTATGGGAAAGAAAAGACGGTATGCAAGGACATGAATGCAGGAGAGACAAGGACCGGCAGTGGTGGCGAACCTCGGGCACACCTGCTGCAGCAGGCTGTTACGGCAGACGGCTCTAAAGGCTTGCGGGCACCGACACAGATCCACGCTACCCTGCTGGTGGTAGAACGGACACAGATGCCAAGAAAGGGTGGCTAACCTGCCCATGCTTAGTGACAATTCATTCTGTTAGCAAAGGTCATCAATTCTAACGTCTGATTTCTTATCATATCTAGCACAATTTACATTTGTCACTTTATATTGATACAGGGAGAAAAACTAGTCTCGGGTGGGTGACCTCCAAACCATATAGGGAACCTCCAAATAACAGAGAAAAACGATCTCTGGACCTGACCTGCACGAGTTCATGTTCTCTAAAACCAAAGAATGAATTTTAGGAACAAACGGAGGTTCTGAGCAGAATATATTTATTGAGAGAAAGAAAGCTCTTGTCCAAGAGAGGGACAGGAGGGGGACCTGAGCGGGTAGTTCCCCGGGAAGCTGTCTCTTCCAGGGACTTTTATAGTGTAAAACCATGCGGGGCTAAGGTAAAGAGAATGGGAACTCGCTTAGGTGGGCAGGAGGTGTGACAAAACTATGGTCAACCAATGGGATTACAAGCACCGTTGCTCAGGTAAAACTGATTAAATCCAGTATCAAATGGGAAAGCGAGTCACGTTGCAAGCGGGCATGAATAGGGAACAGGGTCTCTCCCTGTTGGGGGCTGGAATGCGGGACAGGGTCTCTTTCTGTTGGGGGTTGGGCTAGTGACTCAGGTCTTTCCAGGTGATAGATACCTATTTAGAATATAAATCCCAGGTGCTACTCTTTTAGCATTTGTTTGGCCTTTAGGTCTGGTTCACAGCAGGAGCATCTGCCCCTCCCACAGTTGCAGGGTAGCTTGTCTTTTGTGCTCTCTCTTT